AAAGTCAGTTGTTTTAAGGAAATTTCTTCTTCTCTTAAGTAATTACTTTTGTTTTCCCAGGTGCACTTTGTTCCACAGCAATTCTTGTGAGTGAGATGGAGGGTGCTCATTATTAACACGCAAATGCTTTGGCAGATAATTTTCTGTAAGTAAACACGAATGCAGTATCTAATCAGTAGGCAGCAGTTAATATTACTGTTTGAAATTTCCTGCTTTGGTGCATTCCGGAAAACGCCGTGATTACGAAAAGCGCATCTGTATAGATTACACCTACCTATCTGCAGCGCACAAATTCGATAAAACTGCACCGAACTTCTGCTACACTGAATGCAATCAAGCTAACCTTATTAAATAATACAATAATTTTCAGTGAGGAAGCAACTTTTGTTGGAATAACTGAAAATTGGAATATAGGGAATTTGGCACACTGCGCTTATATGTAGATACGAAAAGCTTGAGGTAAAGTTTTTTCTCGAGTAGTTTTGTAACTGTATATCGTTTTTCGGTGTAATCCTGTCAGTGCCACTGCCGGATTAAATTGTTTAATCTTGTGTGATTTTATAGTAGATATATAAAGGAACAATATCCGGTGTGTCCAATACTGTAGCTAAATATTGCTCAATTGACTTTTAAATACGTAGTATAACAATTTGCTGTCCAATAGTATACAGAGTAAAACAATCAATCAGAGAAAATTGGGTGGTTGAAAACAAAAGCTTTTATTTAAGTAAATGAGAGATGCTTTGTTTGTGAGTCCCCAAAAAGTACAGTATCGTAAATTTAATTACGTGATTTATTTATTGCAAATTAACAATAAATGTATTTATAACAGTAAAAATTATTTATCACTTATACATACACAATTTATAATAGCGCGAATTATTTATTACTACAAAAGCTTTTATTTAAATAAATGAGAGATGCTTTGTTTGTGAGTCCCCAAAAAGTACAGTATCGTAAATTTAATTACGTGATTTATTTATTGCAAATTAACAATAAATGTATTTATAACAGTAAAAATTATTTATCACTTATACATACACAATTTATAATAGCGCGAATTATTTATTACTTTGGCGTTGAAATTGGAACTCTCTGAAACGCATTCCTGTTTGTTTATTAGCAAACCCCCTCTTTCTTGAAAGGATCTCGATCGCTTGCGAGCGCTCCCAAGTAATTCTAGAATGTTCTCGAACTGACACAAGTTTTCTCAATTAAATTCTATTGAATTACACATAATATATGGGAAACTTATCTAACTTATCCGAGGATTCCTGCACGATGTCGACTTTACCTAGGGTAAGGGTCGGCATTCTCGATGATTGTAGGCTTTTGAGAAGGTATTTAAACTGATTCCATCCAGGATAATAAATGGAAATCTAACTGGCTCCCAAATCAATTGACCCTTATAATCTTTAAATATTAACCACCATCTTCATCCGGTCGAAGATCTATAATCAATCCGTGGTACTGAACGGTAGGCGTAGGCCGACATCCAAGGTAAGCTCTTGAATACCGAAGGTCGTTACGGGCGTACCATTTGCTGCTGGAAAGTGTGTTGCTTGAGCGGTCTCTCTCGGGTAGTATTGTAAGAACAGAACCAGAATCAATGACGTAAGAGCCCCTTCTCACGAGGCGTTTTTGACGCGCTGCAGAGTGCAAGACAAGTTTGTTGCGTGGAAAGCGCACTTACCAGGTGGGGCCACCATTCTCTAAAAAAATGGGGTTTAGAGCGTCAATCTCGATGCACTGGAAGTGACAGCTATGGTATTTCACTTTACATTTTACCTATCCATTTTTCAAATGTGACCAATATGTTCAACCAGAATGGAAACGGATATGAAACACCGCAAATTCAGTTCTTTTTCACATAAACACTTCACCCACCCGATACAAAGAATTTACATGGTTTAGACATGAAAAAAATTTTCCAGTCTACGACTAGAACAATTTTTTTACTATGGTAACACCTGAAAATAATCATAAAAAAGGTAGAGAACAAAATTTAGCATCAAAGAAATACAATTTTGCTGACTTGATGAAATTTGGTACAAAAATATAAAGGCGGGAATATCTCAAAACTTTCATTTTCAACAATTTAGCAATTTATTAACTAATTTCACAATGAAATAGAAAATATGGACAGATTGTATAATAAGACTGAAATAATTATTTCTTAAGCAAAAGTTTGCATATAGCGACGGCTCTAATTTGAATGAAATAAATATACCGAAAATGAATTAAACATGAACTGTTCCAATTAAATTTAAATAAAATATTCATTTCAAGTTAACTGTCAAGTGTCCTTCGGATTTTTATTTCCCAATGACAAACACTTTTTCCCTTGAATATGCAAAATTGTCAACCCTACAAAAATGCATAAGCTTTTCACATTAATTACCATCCGCACCCGGCTACAGAATCTACTAATTTTCATTTTATGTGAAAATATATATTGGTATTTTTTAATTAAAATATCAAGGCGAACATTTTTCCAACTGTTTGTTTACAAAAATATATACAACGTATTATGAAATTTAACATGTTCCCAAAAGTTGATATACGTATTTAATTCACAAGGGTATTTTTTGCTTTCGTCCATTTCCTGTGTGCCGGGATATGATTAATCTAATATTTTCATTTGGCTTAGTTTATTTAATTTACATGCGAAATAACTGACTAATGAAACATAGTGGGCTAAATTCCATTTATGCTAAATTGAAAAGTGCATTTCGAGTTGCGGTTTAGCATTTTATTCTGACACCTTCTCGTCGTGAAACGGGGTTAAGTTAATAATAAATTTCAATTCAGTTTAATAGGTAATCCCATAGCCTTTTTAGCAAACCAAAGGTCCTTAGTCAGAAATTAATTATCTGTCGATTATTTAGTAGACAGATAAATAGTACTTATTAACGAAGGATATTTCATAATTTAATAATAATTAATAATCGTGCATATTGCTTGAGAAGGTTTCTGATTCAGATCCGGTTGTACAGTATGTCCTATTTTGGTTGATGCTGCAGTGTATCTCAGCTGTTTTTGAAAATAGAGACTTTGGTTTTCGCGACTACGTGTGTTTCTAAGATACAGGGTGAAAACGAACAGTTTTACTGTTGAGATGTTATCATAGCTTAGTACATAACCTACCCATAAATAAGCTATAAAAAAAAGGTAAAAACCGTTTTAGATGTTTTTACGTAGAATCCAATAGCGTAGT